TCATATTTCAGTATTGACCTGAAGTAAATGTGCATTTTTTTAAAAAAGCCTTTTCAGTTTCTGCTAAATTTGAAAGTATACCAATTTCAGTTTTGAATTTGTTTTTCCTCTCTCTTAATTAATTAACTACTGCATGCAACATGTTTTAAATTTGAAGTTAGGCCTACACTGCTTTTGATAACTTTATTTTATCTACTAAGAATGAAAGTTTTTTTCCCCAAGATTCCTTGATATGTACATAAATATCGTTTCTCTTTTTCTTGGTTCAATCGGAGACATGTTTTTGGTTCAATTTGTTCCTGTTGGCCCTGATAACGATCTAGTTCTATTGGAAGCCATTTTAATTGACTTCAAACATTGATTTGTCAAAACAACACCCAGTTAATTGTTTACACCTGCACAGATAATTAATCCATCGGCATTGTTTACGTAGATCTAAGCTTGGGTTGTAACTGGAAGTTAAAAGTGCAACCTAATTTACGAACCAAATCCGGAAATCGGGAGACTTTCGGGTTGTTCGGCAAAAATCGGGTGATAAGCATGACCCGCCGGGTCATAAAAAATAATCGGGTTACGGGTTGAAAAATCGGGTGTGACCCGACGAAATCGGGTGAGTTGGCAACTATGCCGTCTACCCAAGAAGTATAAGTTGACAAAGTTTCATAATCCTAGGCCTAATAGTATTCAAGTTATGAGCCGGACATGAATGGACAGACGGACAGACGGACGGACATGAAGCCTATAACATAATACGTCCCGTCTTAAGACAGGCATATAAAAATCCTATAATTTCCTAAAAGAAATGAATTGCTATAAATCTGAAGCGCACTCTTGTAATTTTGTCAGACTTGAAAATTCATCTCTTTAGTTAAGCACTACTTTGAAAGAATGGGTGGACTTAACTGGCCAGAAAAAATACCCTAAAATTAAGTTTCATAAAATGTTTATTTTTTTCCATCATATAAACCCCCGATATCTTAACCGTGTATTCATGGTACGGATGTGAATTTAAAATGCTTTTTTCGAGGTAAACTAAATAAATATCCAGACATGGTGCCTGAAGATTTCTCGAATATCAATATTATAATCAGGGTCACACGTTTTTCATCGTCTGAATACATAGTCAGCACATGCTTGTTGGCTGTTCTTAAGAAAACTGTAGTTGTATATTGAACAAAATAATGTTATATTAAAAGGAGAAGAACCGACAAACGTGTGCTCACACTTAATTTAACAAAAAACATGTTCGAAACAAACTTCTCGCTTCCATTGTTATGACTTCGACTGACCTGTTCAATATTACAATTCATCATGTGATGTCCACCTGCGAGTGTACTAATGAAAACAGTGACATTGTATTCTTAAACCTGACCTCAATCTAAATCATGTCTTTGAGCGTGTTTTGTTGCCATTTTCAGAATTTAACAAAATAAATATTGTTTTAATTTTGCATGTCATCACATTTTTAAAATAATTTCATATTGACATCGCTGTAATATGCTAAACACGTATTCGAATTTCTGGAGAAAGAGGGATAGAGAGAGATGTCAACAATGACACCGATCGATAGCCCCGCCTCCTATAAATATTGATTGTGTAACATAACAAGAGGCCAACGGGCCTTATAGGTCACCTGAGTATCGTGTAACAACTTTCAAACAATTAAAATTGATTCGTGTTTTACCCCAGAGGCCAAGAAATTCACATTCACAATTTTGAAAGAGGCACCATTGCTCATCATAATTATAAACTTAGCATGCTTACTCTATTTTTTTAAAACCCAGAGGTAGATCAGAGTAACAAAGAGAAAATGCATTTCCACTTTATAACCAGTTGTGCACCTCACCCCAAAGGAACCACTGACCCTGGGGCCACATATTTCAAAATTTTGCAAATTCAAATTTTATCATAAAATGGTTAATACTAAAGAGCAGATTTCAAAGCATTACTGGTAATTCATTTTCAGACTATGTACCCCCCCCCCCCCGGTCTGACCCAGGGGGCATAAAAAATAACCATTTTGCTAGAGGCATCTTTCTTCATCATAAATATATTTATATATATATATATATATATATATATATATATATATATATATATATATATATATATATATATATATATATATATATATATATATATATATATATATATACTTGGATCATTGGCATAAAACCCAGGAGCAAAGGAAAAGATTTTCTGAGAATTAATGCATTTTCACTATATAATCAATAGAGTCCCGCCCTAACACCAGAACCCCTGACCCTGAGGCCATAAAATTCACAATTCTTGTAGAAGCACTCTTGCTCACCATAACTATGCACTTAGTTTATTTAATACCCAAGAGCAGAGAACAAGATTTTCAAAGAAATAATGCATTTTCACTATATAATCTATATAGCCCCACCCTAGCACAAGAATCTCTTACCCTGGGGCCATGAACTTCACAATTTTGGTAGAGGACTCAATGCTCATTACATTCATGCCAACAGTTTGCCTGCTTGATGTCCAGGAGTAAAGAAGAAGATTTTTAAAGATTGCAATAATTTTGGTGGTTTTGGCCCAACCCCTCAGGCCCCAGGGGGGCGTGGACCATAAAATTCACATTTTTTGATCCCCTTCACCCATAGATGCTGTATACCAAATTTGGTTGAAATTGGTTTCAGAGAAGAAGCTAAAAATGTTCAAATGTTGACACACGACGGACGGCGATGGACGAAAACGGATAGCAATAGGTCATCTGAGTTTCCGTCGTCACACAACAGACGACGACGGACAAAACCAGATAGCAATAGGTCACCTGAGTTCTCAGGTGACCTAAAAAACCACGCCGGGTACAAGTTGAATTCCGGAAGATGATACTCATGTATCGTTGCTTCAATTTTGATACATGACAACAGGGCATTATTTTGCACAAATGTTCCACCTAAATATAACCAAGTATATGTAGCCCTTTCCATTGCTCATAATATATTTTGGATTAACTTCATTTACAGCTTGGTAGAGGAGTCGCAAAAAGATCCAAAATAGGGCATTAAATCCACCCATTCTTTTTGAAAATATTTCATGCTGGAACGAACTTTCTTAACACCCCTTACATCAATGAAATTCCTAAATTTATGTGGGACTTATCCAACTTTTTTCAGCAAAGATTTTTTATTTTATTTGTAAACAGCTTATTAAGAGACAGTTTCAAGGCATAATATGCAAGCATATTACAAACTGGTTAAGGATCTTTTTAACCTTGGGGCGAAATATCTTGCTACTTTTAAAGCGCCCTCTTTGGTCTTTTAAATATTTACATATCACAAGAGTACAATTTACATTTCACAAGTCGACAAATCACAAGTCTATGAATTACACGTGATCATTGACTTAACTTGCATTTACATTTAACAAATTATGTTGGATAAATTATAATTAACAAATTGTGATAGAACAATTGACAAATTATGAATTTATGATTTACAATTTACAAATTAAGGCTTCAATGTGTACATGTTATGAATAACAGAGTTGGAATTTTGAACCCGTTGGCTTCCCATAGTTTCCACACGTCAAGTTTCATCTTTCCTGACCCAGTAGTTCTTGAGAAGAAGATTTTTAAAAGATAAATATTTCACTAATTTGTAACTATCTCCCCTTGGACTGGAGTGTGGCCCTTAATATAAAGGAACTTCAATCCCCTTCACCCAAGAATACTTTGTGGCAAGTTTGGTAAAATTGATACATTGGTTCTTGAGAAGAAGTCAAAAATGTGAAAAGTTTACAGGCGGACAGATGGAAGCTAGACAAAATGTGATCAGAAAAGCTCACTTGAGCCTTTAATTGGCTCAGCTGAGCTAAAACAAGCCACCAAATTTTACTTATTTCTAAATTATCTTCCCTTGGAAGAGGATGTGGCCCTTCAGTTGAACAAACTTGAATCCCTTTAACCAAGGATGCTTTGTGACAAGTTTGATTGAAATTGGCCCAGTGGTTCTGGAGAAGAAGTGGAAAATATGAAAAGTTTATGGACAGAGAGACAGACAGACTACAAACTAATTGTGATCAGAAGAGCTCACTTGAGCTTTCAGCTCAGGTAAGCTAAGAAAACTTTGACTGGGTAAATTTAGAACAGGGCAAAATTCAGTCTATGCGAAAGTTACCGAACCGTCGGTTTTTACCAGTAAAATTTATGTCGGGTCGGTGAAAAATTTCAGCATACAAGACCAAATGTCTGATAAAAAATAAAGCCAAATAAATCTAAATTAAGATGTACACATGGTCCAATTTCCCACAAATATCCTTTATTTGACTAATTTAGCATGATTTATTTTTATGTATTTCAACCCTGTCATGATCTTTTTTTTCTAATTCGAATTTCCTCTGTCAAGAATTAGAGATCTTTAAAGATATATAGCTCATACGTGGGTTTGGTTGGGAAATTATTTAGACAGTTCATATGTAGATTCATGTCGGAAACTATTTTCAAATGATCATTGAACTTGAGTAACTATAATGAGTTTTTCAGGAAAAAATAAATATATATTGAAAAAGTATACTTAATTTAAGAAAATCTTTGATACAGTGTTTTGTATTTATGATGAAAAAATTGCATAGCCTTTTACAAAGGCAAATTATTAATAATCAAGTTCATTTCACTCTGGATTTATTTTAAGGTTTGATTTCACAATGAGAATTAACCCCATCCCACCCATCCTTTCAATCTCAGTATCATAATGATATATGGATTTAATTGAAAAAAAGTCGATCTGGAAAGAAATTGCTTGGTCTGGTAAAAAATTTATTTTTACAAGACCTTTTGTCTTCTAAAAAATTTAAACTTTCGCGTAGACTGAAAATTGCCTGGAAGTGTGAAAGGGCAAAAATAACACGGGCAAAAATAACCTGGTATACAGTATTTGTATATTGTTTATAGATTTTTTGAGTTCATGTGCAATTGCTGTTGGTTATCTTCATTTTAGATGTCCTCTTTTAACCTCCCAATAAAAACTTACCTCCATTTTCTTTTTTTTCAGATTCCTCCTCATTGTCATTTTTATCATCAGAGTCATCCCTATCAAGGCTTTTAGTATCATCAGCATTCCAAATCTCATCCTTTGATGGAATTTGTACATAACGTCTAAACAGAAACTTTAAATAGTGAGCTTAGTTTTGTTTGCATGTGTATGTCCAGGTTAACAAGAGGCTCAAAGGACACAATGTTCACCTGAGTAACTAACTTTCCTCTTCTTCACCAGATCTTCCCCTTTGTAATACATAGTGTGACCCCATCCTATGCCTAAGGGTCATGACTTAGAAAATATACAATCTACACTGAGCCTATTCCAGGATGCTTACATGTATGATTCAGTCTTTCTATCCCAGTGCTTCTTGAGAAGAATTTTTTTTTTTACAGATTTTTTCCTTTGTATATCAATCTATAACTTGGATTCCTTATTGTGGACATGCTCTTAAACCAAGGGGTCATGATTTAAATAACTTAAAATCTACACTACCCCAGGATGCTTCATTCAAGTTTCAGTTTTTCTGGCCCAGTAGTTTTTGAGAAAAAGATTAATAGCCCAACCCCATTTTCATCTTTTCTTGATTATCTCCCCTTGTAAGGGGGCTTTGCCCTTCAATTTAATAATTTAACTTCCCTTCACTCAGGGATGCTTTGTACCAAATTAAAATTGGCCCAACAGTTCCAGAGAAGAAGTTGAAAATGTGAAAAGTTTATAGATTGACGGACAGCTAGACAGACGGATGGACAGACAACAGGTGATCAGAAAAACTTGCTTTCAGCTCAGGTGAGCTAAAAATAGGAATAAACCTTATCATTAGATGATATGAACAAAGGTTACTCAATAAGAGGCCAAAGGCCTTGAATTGCTCTTCTGATAAATTGTACAATCCTTCACTTCTATTTGAAGCCTGTAATTAAGTATTCTGTACATATAATTAAAGCCTTGGAATACGCGAGTTTCGAGATTGTAACTCTCCTACGATGGAGGTGCAAAAAGTATCCATTTCAGCATGGAGGTGGGACAGGTTGCTTCTGTATACAAACGTGCATGAATAAATGAATGATATTTATTGCTTTTAGAATTTATTAAATTTTATAGAAAGATAATGATGTTAAGCAGTGATGCATTTGATGATTTTATCAAGCTCAACTATGCATATTTGCAATTTTACTTTGAATTATATGGTACTTGAAAATGAAAGAAACGTTGTAGTCTTTATAAAAAGTAACCGATTTTCTTGATTGTACAAATATTTTCTAAACAATTAGTGTTTTTTAAAAGTTATAATAAGGAAAAGAATCAATTTAGATTGCTGACGTGCAATGATCAGATGCATGTATTTATTAGAGGTCTATATCTCTTCCCTCATCTAAAAAGTCTCGCATCCACTGATATTTTCTTTTTTGTTACAATTTTTTTGCTTTAAAAATTGAAATCTTTACATTATTTCGGTTATTCTCGAGTTGTAGAGTGCATCCTGACAATCATGAAGTGACGACAAACCAGTAGATTATCTGTATCAATATATCCAATATATAAATAATAAATATCTGTCCCACCTGTCTGTTTACGCGGCAACGAAACTCCCCTCCTCTACGAAAGAGCGCAACAAGGGAGATAATCTCGAAACTTGCGTATATTGCAAAAGGGTTTCTCGGTTCCATGTTCGTTTGCCCTAAAAATTGTTCGCCCGACTTCTTGTTCGCCCAGAGTCCGCTCGCCCTTAAACTTGTTAGCACAGGGTCCGTTCGCCATAATTTAATGTAGAATAAAATCTAATGAATTTCTTTCCAAATTTTTTGTACATTGAAAATAAAACAGACCGTCACTCTGTCCATCAGACGTTATGCATATGATCACACTTGTTTTAATTAGTAGCAGCGGTCACACCTATTAACGTCTCAGTCCTTTCATCGTTTTCAAAACATAGGGCAATTCATAAAAATAACACTGATTTATCCCCCTAATTAACATTGATATTAATCATCTAATTAACTATAGTGAAAACACTTCGTCATTCAAAAAACATTAGAATCAAATCAAAAATTATTTTAGACTAAATAAACATTGCTCTTCGTATCAGAATTTGAGAGAAAAAAAAATTCCAAGTTCGTAAGGGAAATAAATAGAAAAAATGATAAACTCGTATGTTAATTTTTAATTCACATATATACAAGTATATATATATATAAGAATTGGGCGAACCACATATAGGGCGAACAAGATATTGGGCGAAAAATATTTTGGGTGAACGGATTCTGCGTGAATGGACTCCTGCGAACAGGTAGATCAGGCGAACGAACCTGTTACCTTGCAAAAGTAAGTCCTTATGACCTACATTTTGGTTAAAACACTCTGAGAGCCCGGGATAATCAACTAAGTGTGAGGATTCCAAGCCCCTTATTATCTTAAATATCAAGATATAGTCATGAGATTTCAGAAGTAGGTCACAGTGACCTACTTTTTGGTAAACTCTGAGAACCCAAAATGCCTCAATTATCAATGCCTCTTAATACTCTTATTTTTTCAAATATTCAAACAATGCCTAGAAATTCCTAAAGTAGGTCACCATGACCAACTTTTTATTTAACACATTCTGCGGACCCTAGATGCATCAACTGAACAGGGTTTCTAAGCTTGAAAGTACCTGAAATATTTTAAAATTTCCAAAAATTTCAGAAGTAGGTCATCATGACCTACATTTTAAACTTTTCTGAAGACCTTAGCCAGTTAGGACTGGAGTTATTTAAATATAGACATGAAATACCATAAGTAAGTCATGGTGACCTACTTTCTGATTGAAATTTTCTGACTCAAGATGCATTAATTGACAAAGATTGATGAATCTAAGCAATTCAGGGCCTGAAATATTTCAATACAGCCTTAAAATTTTTAAAATAGATCACCGTGACCTACTTTGTCTTTGATATTCACCAAGGACCTATGATACATCAATTGACAAAGATTGTAGATTCTACCAATTAGGACCTGAAAAGAATTTAATATAGCCATACAATTTTGAAAGTAGTTCACTGTGACCTAGCTACTTTTTGGTCAACATGCATTCTTAGAAAACCTAAGATGCATCAACTGACAAAGTTTGAAAATTCTAAGCCAATAAATACCTGAGAAACTTAAATATAGCCATAAAATGTCAAAAGAAGGTCACTGTGACTTACTCTTTGGTCGACATTCTCTGAAAACCCAAGATGCATCAGCTGACAAAGTTTAAAGATACTAAGCCAATAAATACCTGATATACCCCGGTACTTCTTAATATGATAGAACATTATATTTAGTTTGTCATTATGAAGCTACCCAGCAAGCTTTTAATGACAGCAATAATTTGAACATGACAATCTCAATTAGATAATTAATTTAGTGCAGTATGAACCCAATCTTAAACCATATTATGAACAAGAAGCCAACGGGCCCAGACATGTCAAAATTTTTTAATCACTGTCAGGCATTTGGTCTATTAAGTCCAATGTTCTGTTGGACCAGTCAAAGTTTTGTCAGACCAGATACTTGTACCTTATTTTGACGCTGAGAAAATCATATGAATAACAGCTTAAAAATGCCCTTTTTTATTTTCAACAGCCTTCAATCTTACAAGTTTCCTTCCTTGGGGTAGAGAATCTTTAACATTAGACATAAATGACATGTTTTATGACTTTGCTATAATAATTTAATTGCCTATCGTCAACACGCTTCGTACGCGGCCATTTTTTTGTGTTTGTGACCTTCAGCTATGCATCCCGATCCTATTATAAAGATTTGAATAAAAATAAAGTTGTATTAAATTTTAATTAATGTGTATGTAAGCTAGTAAACCTAAATCATGTTTTATTCCATCATATAAGATCAGTTTTAAGGAGCACATGCAGCTTTTATATATGTCCATCATTCATGTGACATTTTCTCACAATCGTTCTTTTAACAACGAGTATTTTAGGTTTTACAGTAAAACTTGTTTAGTACGAACACGATATTGTGAATTTCTGAACATAGCCAAGTTATCTTGGATCCCCAACTATATAAATTTTACAAGTCTTTTATATGGATATAACAAAATATGGATATAGCGAAGTTAGTAGTAGTTACCCCATATCATACTGTTGGTTATGTGCAGATACCCGATGGGCGTGGTCATAATGACAAGAGGGAGCTTAGCTCCCGAGTTGTCATTATGATCATGCCCATCGGGTATCTGCACATAATCAACAGAATGATAAGGGGTAAATGACTTGTACCATAGTTTTCAAAAATCATTCATTTGTAAGTCAGCTTAGGAATTGGTCTGATTATACAGTCCCTGAAACGTTCTACTTTCCCATTTTTCTGATCGCTCACTGTTCATTCAGCATTTGTTCACCGTTCATTCAGCGTGCGTTCACCGTTAGCTCTTCGTTCCCAGTTTTGCGTTCACCGTTCACTGTGCGCTTGCGTTCATTGTTCACAAAACGTTCACCGTTCACTCTTCATTCCGTTTACTTTGTGTTCACCTTGCGTTCACCGTTCACTTATCATTCAGTCTTCATTGTCATTCGGAACTCCGAAGTGAAAGGACTTATCTTTTTGATGGTAAGGATTTACACGTTTTTTAATTAAATAACTTTAATTAGATATCGTGCTTGAAGAATAATTATTTCATTGCAAAAATTATCTATGATATCTATATTTCTATTTTCATAACTCAGCTGTTACTTACTTCATGAAATTTCCCTGGAAAATAATACATTAAGTACCTACATGTATGTAGAACAATGCTAAAATATTAACTTTAAAAAGAGGGCAATGTACAAATGCATCAACCACGGCATCAATTTGTTGTAATTTTAAAGACGACAAATTATTAATGGATGTATAATAATTAATCCAAGTCTTTTACAGGACAAGAATACACAAAAAATTTATTTCTACAGTAACACGTATTTTAAACTACACGTAGGTCTGAGAATTATGAACAGTACTGCAAATATTCAGTTAATTAAATATCTTTAGAGCTAATTAAATTGATAGTGTGATATAAATTTTAGAAAAGACCAACTGCTTAAAATAGTCTATAATTAGAGAAGGAAAATTCCTTCCTTCACTGTACCTAAACATATGT